CCCCAAAACCCCAAAACCCCAAAACCCCAAAACGATCACCTCTTACTGAATCAAGTTTTAATAAAAGGATTCAAGGATCAAGTTGAACACAATGCCTGTTTCTTTCTTCATTTTGACGAACACATAATGCAAGTGATTGGCTAGTACCTTAGGCACACAGGCGTAGATATCGTACTTAGGTTCATTTTTAGCAACCAGTCTGTTACAGATCTTAGTAAAGTTCGGCCTACCGAACTTTAAAGTTACCGGACTCGTCTCGAAAGTAAAGGTGTGCAGTTTCTCACTTTCTAAAGGAGTTTTGTTGCTCTTTATTTCCTCAACATTTCAGGAAACTGAATGGATAGATGACTTTGAGTTTTCTTTTGGCTCTTCAAAGTTCATCTCAATGTTGTTCTTACAAATCAGCAAGAAAGCCCTCCAGAAAAGAAAAGATGGCACTGTCTCAGAGTTCTTCTTCAGAGTGATGTAAATCTGGATATTAAGGAAAGAATTTATGAAATCTGTTGAGATCAAGTGCAGGAGGTAATTTGAGATCCATGAAACTTGCTCGCCTTCTCTTGCGATAAATATAAGTGTTCATGAATTAAAATCATAAGAATGAGATTTCCCTAAATCAAATCTAATGATCTCATCAACTAAAGGTAGGAATGGAGCGATTCCACTGCCAGCTCCAACTAAGACGACATTCTTGCCTATGAAAGTTTCACAAGTGCTGGTGATTGGTTTGGAAATATTAGCGTACAGGAAATGATCTATAGAATTACAGTATACTTTTACCCTTATTAAGGTTCATCATGTCTTTAACTTTTATTTCATCATAGATTGAATGGAGAATGTTAAATACATCTTTTTCATCATAAGATTCAATATTGAGTTTATCCATCCTCATCATAGACTTCTTCTGCTCATAAAGAGTGTCTATGAGCTTCCCGGTCCAGTCTCCTGCCCTTTTGATCATGAGCGTGAGGAATTTAGACTCTGGTCAAGAAGCTACTGAGAAGGGATGCCATTCTGTACAACTTACTTGAGGGATGTTTAAAAACACATATTGGCCGTGCTTCACTTCGAATCCTTTAGGTCTATATTTTTATTTGTGGGATTACTTAATAAAGAGAATCATAATATATTTCCTGTTAGCTGAAATACTGACATCAGCTATCCTGAACTTGTATTTTCTCATGGTTCTCAGCTTTTGAATAAACTGAATGGTTGAGATAATTATTGGAGCAGCTAAAAAGACAGACCCAAGAGGGAATCCCCAGTTGAACCATCCCTCACATCCGTGGAGAATTGTTAAGCCAAGGAAAAGTGGGAAACTGAACACATGTATGTAAGCAAATATTTGGAAATACTTTTCTCTGAACCAGGACATCGATGTGATAGCCATTGCTGCAATTAAAACAAGAAGTATTATCCCTGTACTTCCAGGGATAGTTAAGAAGAGCAGTTCCCAATAGGTCTTTTCTCCATCAAAATCATGATTCAAAGTCACATCATTAACATTTTGTATATCTTTTTCTTCAGAGAATTTACGAATACTTCCTGATCAATGCCCAATTGTATGAAGGATACTAAAGAAGGTTACCACATATCCTCAAAAACGATGGATCAAGATATTATGGTTTAACCATATTTGTCATTTTCCTTTGCATTTAGATCGGATGTAAGTTAGCACATCATATGAGACAAAGAACATAAGAATTCCTGTAGTTCCAAGAATTGCAGATGCTGATCCTCTGCTCACGATAACCCATGGGCCGATATAGCGTGAGTATGAATAAGAGCCTGTGATACATCCCATAACTATGAATGCAATAATTGCTACAATTGTGAGGACTAAAAATAGTTTATAGTAGGGCTTTTTGGCTTCTACTAATCAGTTGAAGGTCTCAGGGCAGTCTCCAGCACTTGTCTTCACAAGTTCATTAATATCTCACTCAGTGTCTACATCGACGTTTTCTATCTTATCAGGGTTCATGTGCTGTTCTTGACTTTTATGAATTGCTGCGCGGGTTTTTAGAATTTCTTCAACTAAAATTTTAAATTTAGTTTTTAAATTCTTTAACCCTGCCATATGATGACTTTGGGCTTCTTCATCTATGCTCACTGGCATGACAGAGTTATCTTTATACTTTTTCTGTCCTGTCGTATTCTTTTCAGTCATCTGATTTCTCTCAAAATTTATTATGCTTTGAAGGCACCCTTTCGCTATAGGAATAAATTGTAAATTTTCTACCTTGAATCAACTTATTGTTCTTTACAGAGAGCTCATATGCTGAGCTTACTGTAATTGTTTTCTCTTCATGGGCTCTGATATCCATTTTATCATTATTCTCCTTATCCTCTTCATCAGGTAGCCTAGGTGTTTCGTATCTATTGCATTCAATCTTATCAGGTTCTTCATCAGTATCTTCAGGGTCAGAATCAAGCGGGAGATTTAGCACATCAACCATCTTTTCAAAGCATTCATCTGTGATTCTAAGAACATTATTCGTATCAGCTCCTTCTCTTAGGATCATCTTGAGGTTCTCCCTAGTGAGAGTGTCTAACTTGAAGATTTCTTTCACGGAGCTTTTTATCATCTCGCCATCCATGTTAGCTATAAGATGTTTCTCCGAAAATTTAAATTTAGACCCAAATACTCTCTGAATATGAGATTGTGGTGTTCTTTTATGTTGCCTCCTTCTTTTCAACACATCATCGCTGCTATTTCGTTGATTTAGGGGCATTTATAGAGCCACTCCTTCCATTCCTTTTAGGCACTGACTTAGTTGAGGTAATCAACTTCTTGGGTTTTGTGAATAAACTATTTTTACGTGCTTCTTGTTTATATCCATTATTGTCTTTTACAGGGCCTAAATTTGAGTTAATTCTGCTAAAATTCTACGTTTAAAGAATTACCTCTTTCCACTTTCTCTTCTTCCTCATCTTCTCCTGTGTTGTGTCTGTCTTGATCTCTGGAGATGAGGTATCTTGTTTTCTATAAAATTGAGCTATTCAGGATGCTACTTCATCAAATTGGTTTTCTTGGAGTAACTTCTCATCATCATTCGGGATCTGGAGGGTACTTTCATCAGCTTTTGACTCTTCCATAATTACTTAGGTATTTAAAATTTATTCTCAATCTCTAATTTTGATATTGGGGTTTTGGGGTTTTGGGGTTTTGGGGTTTTGGGG